GGGCAGGGCGGGAGGCGTTGGGGTCGGTTGGAGGAAGGCCCGCTGCGGGGTGCTAGTTGGGGCAGGTAAACCCGTAGCGCTTGCGGCTGCCTGTTGATCCTGATGTCGTCTGTAGATTCACCCTACGGGGAAGCTCTTCGTGCTCTCGGACGGAGAAGGGAAACACACGACCGTGGAGCTGAGCGAACCTGTAAGTTTGGAAATACTTGGCGGTGCCCCTGGTGGGTGCCGGGGGTGAAGAGGCCTGTGCGTGCCTTCCCAATATGGAGTTTTCAGTCAGGAAAAAAATACATGTCTGGTTTTGCTTTTTGTTTCCTGAGATTTTGTCCCTTCTGAAACCTGTGTATGCCTTGAACGTGTGGAGTTTTTACTCAGGGAAAAAAAAATCTCAGATTTTCTTTTTTCCTTGTGAGGTTTTGTCCCTTGTGAAACCTGTGCATGCCTTTCAAGTAACCATGGTGACTAATATTTGTATGTATTTTAATGAGGCAAACTAACAGTTAAGAATAAGGTTATAATTTAAGGGTTGTTACTGACTCATGAAAAAGTATCTGAGTAGTAGCTAGTGTTCCAGATAAAGAACACATGATGGTTACAGACTTGTTGGACTGAGGAGGTTGCTGATAGGTGGAGGACATTAGATCATCTCTAATCAGAAGAACAAATACTTGGTAGCTTTAACCCAGGACATGCTGGATCAACTGGACCTTGAGAAGGTTAATTAGGATGTTTTATGTATGCTGAAAACTTGGCAGAAGAACTGACTATTCATGTGTCATTAGTTGCTACCCTCATTGTAACAGTAAAAATCACACCCCCTGAGTTGAAGACCCTGGCCCAGGTAAAGACCCTTACCCACTGAGCATCCCTAGTGAATTTTAGGAGTACTATATCTTTAAACTGAAGTGAGAAGGCAACTAACCAGTGGTAGTTAGGTGGGTATGGCTAACAGGTGGTACTAACTATGCACAGAATAGAACAGTGTCTCCTCTCTAAACATTGTGTGTTTCAGGAGTTATTTTCGATTTCAGGTAATACACGTATTCAGTTTTTAGTCAGGAAAAAAACCAAAATCCCTGGTTTCTCCCTTTTATGTTTCATGCTTCTTACATCTTCCAGCTAACTTGCAGTCTTCATATTAAATAACTGCTTTGGTCTTCATCGGTTTTCAGCCGGTGTTAAGAGAGAATTCATTCCTTGTCAGACACATTCCTGTTTCACTACTTTGTCTTAACTCTATTTGTTGTTTACAGTATAATAAATTCTGCTACATGTATTAGCTCTACTTCCTTTTGCTTTATATGCCTAGCAGAATATTTTGTGAAGATAATCCAAAAAACCCAAGAATATGATGTTTTCAAGAGTCTTTTGAGTTGATGTTTGTCTATATTCTTAGAGCGCTTGTCATAGCCCCTAACTACAAGAAGGACATGGAGGTGATAGAGCATGTCCAGAGAAGGGCCACAAGGCTGGTGAGGGGTCTAGAGAACAAGTCTTACGAGGAGCGGCTGAGGGAACTGGGACTGTTTAGTCTGGAGAATAGGAGGCTGAGGAGGGACCTTATCGCTCTCTACAACTACCTGAAAGGAGGTTGTAGTGAGGCAGGTGTTGGTCTCTTCTCCCAAATAACTAGCGATGGGACAAGAGGCAAGGGTCTCAAGTTGCATCAGGGGAGGTATAGATTGGATATTTGGTAAAATTTCTTCACTGAAAGAGTGGTCAGGCACTGGGACAGGCTGCCCAGGGAGGTGGGGGAGTCACCACCCTTGGAGGCGTTCAAAAAACGTGTAGATGTGGCACTTCAGGACATGATTTAGCAGGCATGGTGGTGCTGGGTTGACGGTTGGACTTGATGATCTTAGAGCTCTTTTCCAACCTACGATTGTATGATAGTATTCTAATAAATGTCATAGTTAGCTTGAAGCATTCTTTCTTAAAAAAAAAAAAAAAAGTAGCAATTAATGCGCTGGATGTAAGATATGCTAATAACTACTGCACAGAAATATTGCTTTCTTTGTTATCACGTACCAGTAAGGAAATAACACCCTGGCATTCTGTTCTGTCTTTATGGGGTTTTTTTTCCTCTAAGAAGTGTTGCAATTAAAAGATTATTTTCATCGTGATGGCAAATGCTCCAGCTTAACTGAGCATGTGTGTAGTCTTTCCACATCTTTTTCTCTGAATGAGTTGTTAAACGCTGAGAAATCTGGCTATTTCCATGTGAAATGATAGCACATGATACTCTCTGACTTTGAAGACAGGAGTCTCACCTTGTTGGTGGAAAGTGCAGTTTGATCTCTCAGAGAGTTTTGTCTTATAAATGTGAAGCTTGCTAACATCGTCAAACTTCAAGAAAATGCCTTTCCTACAAGTTCTGCTTGTACCTTCACTCTTTCTTGAGCTTATGAAAAGGTTTCCTGCCTTGGATTGTTAAATCTTAAGATGTCAGCATCTGACCAACGATTCCACAACTTCCTGTAACTGAGCAAATAGCCAAATTTCATAAATGCATAGCTGCAATGTTAGATACTTCGCAGTCTGTATTGGTGTGTAAGGGAGGAGAAACCGGTGTGTGCAGAAAAAACGTGCCAGGTCAGTCTCTCTGGTTTGCCTGACGTAAATGGAGGAGCTGCTGTATTTGCAAATAAAAATGCTTTCTAACTTTTCCTCCCTTTATGTGTGTGTAGTTCCTCCTTTCAACAGAGGAAAAAGTTATGGGAAGGGGAGGGAATCTATTGCTGTGTTCCAGGGAACTGGCTAGAAAGTTAAAAGTAAGAGTTGCATATTGGAAAAATGTTACTGAAATAGTACTGCCCTCTTAAAATTAGTATCTTAAAAAAGAAAGGAAACATGTTCAAGCTATATGATTTTGGAGTAAGATAAAATGTTTAGGTTGTTTTTTTCCACTGTGTTCAACCAAAGGCTTGTTGTTGCCAGTGTCTTTGTATTCTGAACACTTACTGACAGATTACATTAGAAATAATTTCCAATTATACCTCCTGAATCTGGAATATTGGAACTGCTCTCTGGGATGTGTGACACCTCCTTAGCTATTAGAGTTCTATAATTTACTCATGTTTGAATGTAATGCATTAAAATCTAGATTCTTCTGCTCACTGTGTCCTAGAGGAGTCTCTGCTCAGTGATTAAATGACACAGTGTTATATACTTACGAACTGGTGTCTGCCCTCTGATGCCACTTCGTATTTTTTTTGTGTCAGTACTGAACTGGTTGTTACAAAACCTGTAAATCTTAAGCAGCTCAAGGCTCTTGTGGGTTTTTTTGGGAGATGGACAGGGGTGTTCAGTAGTACTGTATTGTTTGACATGGAACACAATCTGTTGTCATGAACAGACTCAGTTGTGGACAGTTCCTAGCTGAAGTGCTGTGCAGTAGAGACAGCAGCTAATTTAGTGATACTGGTTGCATATTTGGTATGTCTTCTAGCTAGATGAAGAGATCTCGGGAGTTATTGAAGTGGTGGGAAGAGTAACGAATCAGGCAACCATCATGTGCATGTCATATGTCCAGTTCAGAGAAGATAAAAGTCCATTTGGTAAGTAAGAATACACATTATGACACATTCATTTTGTATTCTGAAATCTTCAGTAAGTGCGATGGGAGAGCCTGATTGGTTACCTTTTCTTACGGACAAGGTGTTTCTTCAAGCTGCCAGATATGGAGTGGAATGTCGAAAAGGAGAGTGTCATGGGAAAAATTCTGTACCAAGTACTCTGTTTTAATGTCAAACTGTAGAGACTGACTTGAAGCTGGAGCCAGTCTAGATCATGGTCTGGTCATTCTCCCACTCGCAGCCTCGTGGTTCTTGCCTTGCATTGGGCTGTGTGTGACTCTGCACCTAGCAGGCCTAAAAATGACCCTCCCAAAAGCAAGCAATGGGAGTGTGGCTGCCTTGGGAAAACTGGGGAGGAGGTGCGGGGCTGGGAACACTCAGCTCTACTGCTTTAGAATAAGCAGTGCTTTAATGCTCTCATTTACTTGTGGGGAATTTAGTTTCTGCATCATAACAATTTTCTTTGCCCTCTTTCAGATTTGGAACTCTACAATGAGGCACTAAAAATTATTCATGAATTCCCTGAATACTTCCCGTTCGGTGCTGGGAGGAACAACTGATTTTTCTTGGCATATATTTAGCGCTTCAGATGGGACAACAGTACTGTAGCTTTCTTGCCTGACAGCATGGTAACAGTTACATTATTTCCAACAAATATACTGAAAAGATGCAGTTACATGTGCTATGCATGGCCAGTGAAGAATGTTTTCTTTGAAAATTAATTTATGCAGCAAGGAGAACACTTCTGTGGGTATCTCACTGTCTGTATATGTTTAACACTTTTGCATCCATGAGGATTGTTCTTTTGTGGGATTGGACTTGCTGGAAACTGAAGTTTTGTAGGATTCTTTTTGTTGTTGTTGATAGAGGTTCTAGGATACTTGACAGGAAACTTGTATTGAAGACATTTGGTGGGGTTTTAATGTAAATATTTTTTAATTATTATTTCATTTGCTTTGATACGAATTTATTGAATGTGGGGAGGGTATTTTGCATTTTGAAAATGGTCTCTTCTCCAATAAAAAAGATCTGACTACATTTAATTATTTGTGTCAGTGTTACATGTCAGAGTGCTGTTTTCAGTGTTACGTGGTGACTCGTGTTGTGTTTTGCCTGACACGGGTAATTTAATTTGAACAACGGGGAGTGCGAGGTACTTGCCTTTTGTAGTGGTGTCAAACATTTGGAAGATGTTTAGTTAGGCTTGGGGATTTCAAGCACTGTGGAGTTCCCATCACAACCTTTGTTCTTGGGGGGAGTCTAAGCAGAAGTACCAGGCTTCAGCCAGCATGTCATGATGACTTTAACCAGATAAACTTTCACGCAATTCCCAACTTTGTTACTATCCAGGCTACTTGCAGCACATAGCAGAATTCCTACATCTCTTAAGGTAACACAGTCGAAGTAAAAATCTAACTTCGGAAGTATTCTCTGTGAATAAATAAATAATATTTCTAAGTAAACTCGCTTATAGCCATGTTCATTAACCTTTCATACAAACAGGTTTCAGGATTTAGTGTCTTACTAAGATTGCTAGCTTTATGCTTATTTAGAGGCATCTCCCTTTTCAGTCAAGGAATTTCTTTGTTTTAAAGACTTTTTAATTTTTAAAAGTTACTGCATGACACTGTCACTGGGAAGGAGGGGGGCTTCTGAAGTGTGAGTTGGCCTCGTAATCAACAACACGAGGTCAACGCGGCATACCACACTCCGGCCTGTAGTGCGATTGCTGCTATATTGCAATGCCTAACAGTATTCGGCAAAATAAAAGGGCGTTGCTAATAACTGCATGCTTGTTTTCCTAGCATTTAAGTCTTCTGTATTACTGCACTTTTGTGCATGTATGTATGTTATGTAAAATGTTATGTGCAAATAGTTTTTGGTTACCAGGACTATCCAGGCCTAGTAAAATAATCTGCCCCTAGACGGCTGTAACCCTGTACCCCCACACAGAGACCGTCCTTGGGTGTGTGGTCTTGTGCGTGAATATTTGAACACATCCCAGTGGAAACTGCTACAGTTTGTCAGTCATGCTCGTGCAGTCCCGCAGCGAAACTGCACAGCGCTTGCCTAGCCACACAGCAACAAGCTTCCACTGTGGGCTTTTCATTCAACTGTGCCCCTAGACTGTGAAGAGGAGCTGGCAGCTTCTCTGGGAGGACACAAGGGTGGTAAAAGCAGGGTACTTGGGAGAAGAAAGGGGGATATGAAGTGCATGGCATCATCGGGGTGGACTGGCAGGGGTTCCTGTCACTTGGAGCTGGGCAGCGAGCCTACTGCTCCCACCATGCTTGTGACTGACTTCTGGGACCTAGCACCTTTGTTGCAAAGGGAATGTTTGGAGCACCCTTCCTAACGTTGGCATGGGGGGCACTGTCACATTGCCTTCTGTAACAGCTGGCATAGTTGACAGGATCCCAATCTAAGTAAACACAACTGCAAAAAATGAATCTGGTGTAGAAGGCATGGGGAAGCAAGACAGCTGTTAGAAAGGTGGAGAGGGGATTGAGCAGATCCCAAACTGGGTTCCTATGGCTGCAGTGGAGGTTAGGCTTTAGCAGAAGCTGGTTACTAAGCACTTCAAAAACAGGAGGCAGCCTAAGGCTGGTTCAGTCTTCATGAAAGAGTTTTGAAGTTGGAGAACTACGTTCTGAGAAACAATTCTCAAACCATCAGTCCATTTTAGCTGTCCAGCAGCCTAAACTGTAAATAAAAGCTATGAAACAGAGGTAATAGAGAGCTTTATGTAGGGAACCTACACATGGGATGAAAGAACATCTGCATTTGGGGAGGGCAATGGCACAGCTGCATCCCACCAGCCCTTGTGTGGAGCCATAAGATTGCCGCTGTTAATAAGGGCCATGCTACAATCCAGGTGCCCCCACTTTCTTCAGCCAAACTTCTGGGCAAATCTGGTGGATATGGAAATGGTTACTTGGTGGTTAGGAAGTGCTCCTGCCCAAAACCCCAGGGCAGTGGGACAGGACTCCCAGGTAAGAAAGCTGAGAGCAGCCCTCCTTGCAGGCCAGCAAGCTTCTGTGACTTCCCTCTCTGCTCAGGCAGTCCGAAGCAGGGATGGCTTTAGCTCTCAGCTGGTGAACGTACAGAGAGCAGTCCATGAGTCTGAATGGAGGAACAGACTAAAATTTAGCAAATTCAGTGCTGGTGGGGATCCCAAGGGACGCCAGCAGAACGCCGCCGCGCAGCGAAGCATGGTGGGGAGAAGCCTCATTGGGGCACAGCTGCAGCCATGTCTGGGACCCTCGGCTAGTCCTGGTCACCATTACCAGACCTGCTCTGCTCTCCTTTTGCTCCTCAGGCACTGGCACAACCCACGTTGTGCTGATTGGCAAGCAGCCTCTGCCTACAATGAGGAAGTGCTCGTACTTCATCAGGGAAGGGAGGCAAGGCTGGAGCACACAACCAAATGAAAACAATGAAATGTAATCAGCATGAACCATAGGGTCGAAACATTTTAGCATGCAAGGCCACCTTCATCTAGTTAACTCTAGCAGAGTCAAGCAGATACCAGAAAACAGTAAAAGTAACTGCAGGTAATAAAACATCTGCCGCTATACTTTTGATTAGAAGACAACAAATCACCCACAAAATCACAGCTTTATTAATTTAAAAGCAAAACAAGGAAAAAAAACCCTGAATGTTAAAAACCATACACCTCTTACTTTGTAAATTTTGCAAATGGTGTAATTACTGGCGTGAAAGCCTAATTACCAATTATTACAGCCAAAGCTGGCAGTTATACTGTGTCACAAAACGCACACATTCATACTCCAAAACATTTAGCATCTAATTTAATGAAGTGATAGAATTTGACACAAACAGGTACAGTCAAGTCACAAACATTATAAATGAGTTTTCTTTACATAAGAAAATGAGACATTGTAAGTTAGTAGTTGCATTCACCTGGACATGGAATTTATCAGGAAAATTTATGAAATGTTGTTACTATAGAGGAATAAAAACATATCTTTGACACTTACAAATCCTCATTTCCATAAAGCAAGTTTTATTGCCTGTATTTATATAAATAGAGTATCACACATTAAACCCCAGTTTATAAATGGAGAATATTTTGAAGAGCTCTTTTAACAGCAACATAAAGTGTGCAAAAACACTGGAAAGAGAAGTAAATATTCTAAGAAGGAAAAAAAGTAACTGCTCTCCCATGCCTATGTATATCAAGTACCTCTTAGATTTTTAACTTAAAAAAAAATCTTTATCAATTAGGCAAGAATTTTAGATCAGAATAAATGTAGCAGATGTATTACAACATTAATGCTGAATCAGAAAATAGAACCCCAAGTCCTGAATGTAATCATGTACATCTACAGAAAACACCACCACATCCAATCTCGTTGCAACTACACTGGAGCACTTAGAACTAGTGGTGTATTACAATATATTCTCTTTTAAAACACCAGTTTTCACAGTCCTGGCAATATGGTACCAGTTTATTGCTAGCATTCCATTTAGTATTTCATAGCACGCAAGTGTTAAGTAACTCATATACTGTTTCTACTAGTAAATAAACACACACCAAGTAAACTGATGTTATTATCACATACCTTAAAACAGGTTTGTTTTTTTTTTCCCTAGTTTGTGTGAATTTTGTTGCCTACAAAATCAAGGACAACAATAGCTCCTAGCACAGTATTAGCCAAATATCATTGACTCAAGTTAATAAATACTCTTTAATTCCAGCTGGTAATGTATCTAGAACTACTTCTGGTCAATGACCTAAAATTCTTGTGGAGCCTTTCGGGAGCAGACCAGGGTCCGCCAGTGACCAGAAGCAGGATTTATACAGGCTGATTTCACAACTCCCGGCATATTTCAGTACAGGGAAATGCTGATTATCCAAATGTCTTCAAATATTTTTGTAGCCAAAACTCAGCATGTAGTTTAAAACTTAAATATTTACAAGTCTCCAGTGCTTGAGATTTCAGATGTTCACAGTACTATGTTAAAAAATAATTAATCAAATGAAACCTCCCATAGTTTACCAGCATTCTGCCCTGAAACAGACACCTGACTTTTCAGGGAGCTCTTCTCTAGGATATAGACATCGCTAGGAGACAAAACCCCCAAATTCTTCAGCATTAAAATTCACATCAGCTAGGTATGTAGGTAAACCAAATAAGACCTTGAATTGCAAAGATATTGCTTTACTATTAACAAAACTTGGGAACAGAAAGAAATAGATTTTTCTTCAAAACAAAAATCTTTAGAATACAATTAACAGTGGCACTTTGAAGGAACTTAGAAGGAAACGACTGTTTGCATACAAGAAAGAGCGATCAAACAATGAACAGAAGAATCCACAGCATCACTTTGCAATCTTCCGAAGAACACTTTTCAGGCATTTCTTTTGAAGGCCCACTTTCACAGCATATAAACACTGCTTTCTTTGGAAAACAAATAAAAGGGCTGATTAGCATTACCCTGAAAACTTTAGTAAAAGTTCTTTGGATTATAGCAAATCCAAAGGAGTCCACAATCTCAGGAATGCTGTTGAACTGAACTGCTTCAGTCCTCTGAA